AACGCATACGCAGTAGTGTTCTATCACTATAACGCATGCGCAGTAGTGTTCTATCACTATAACGCATGCGCAGTAGTGTTCTATCACTATAAAGCATGCACAGTAGTGTTCTATCACTATAAAGCATGCGATGTCAATGTTTTACAAAAATTTAAATAACTTCTAAAAACATGAATACTTTTAATGATCTTAAGCTTACTTTAAAGGTTATTTTCTACAGAATGGGAAGTACTTGTAGACATTAACGTGTAATTTTCTCTTAGAAATTGCAGATCGGCAAAGTTATACACAAAAATTTCAATTTGAAATAATTCTTTTGTACAAAAAACTATCCTTCAAAAAATTTGAAACATGATATGATGTAAATTTTTCTAGAAAATTTAGTAAAAATCATGTTTAAATTTTAAAAATTACTTTTCTGTTAACCCGTTGCCTGTTAACGACCGTTGGGTAGTAAACTTCTTAGAGCAATATAAATGCAATTTTTTATGTAAATTATAAAATAAATTGTTATATATCATTATTAACACACTATTGATTGCAATGATACTAAATTAAGTAATAAATAGATGATTATTTTTTATTTTTAAATAAGATAACAATTTAAAAACAAGTAAAATTTATTAAAATTTATTTTAAATTTAAGTCACATTTAGTGTATAAGGGCTTTTGGAGTCGGTGAATATAATTAATTTTAAAAAATTCAAAATGGCGGACATTATTTTTGAAATTCATTTGGATTTTTATCAATTTCAGTACCTAAGGGTGTTACGTATGACTATTATATATTAAAAAAAATTGGGAATTTTGTAATTAGATTTAAGTTATTAAAAAAATTACGAAATTAAAATTAAAAAGTTATTTTCCAGTGGAAAACTCTAAATGTATTGGTTTAAATACCAAGAAAAGAAACATGCACATTAAAAGTATAGTGGATTTAGAGCATTGAACTCGTGTTAGCCAACTTTAGGAATTTGCAAGCTTGCTAAAAGCTTGCCTGGCAACAAAGAAGTTTAATGAATTGTGTGTAACAGTCTCCCCACTATTAACATTTTAATGCAATTTCAGGGTGTGATCCATAACTTCGATCGATTAAACGATTGAGTCTGAATTTGTTCTTCCCACAGTAAGGCTGCGTAATATATTGTTTCTACCAAAAATTGGTAGAGTTTATATTTTGTATTTCCCGCAAAGTCAGAGGTTTATATTTTATCCCCAAAGGAAGGGTTGATTTGTGAATTTAATAATTATAGTGAATTTATACGACATAAATTGTGAAGTGAAATATTTATAAAAAAAGTTGATTTAAATATTAAATTGAAGTTTTGTGAAAGAAAGTGATTTGAGTATTAATAAAATAGTAAAGAAATAGTTTGAATTAAATAAAATAAATTAAAATAATTAAAGTCTCACTGATATTAAAAATATCAACCTCCGTCTAATGCACTTAAAATCGATTGATTAAATAATATCATCAACCAAATATTTAAATGCAGTGACCCTGTAGTTTGAATATTGTAAGTTGATTTGAAGTTATTAATTTATTATTGTTGGAACAAATTAAAGAAGATTCTTTATAATGAAATTAGAAAAAATAAGCGATAAGCAATTTTGATGACAATAGTGTTATTTTTCAAGTGACATAACTTGGATTATTTGAGAAAAAACACAGAAGTCTAAGGGTAATAACAATATATAAAATATGTTATTTTTATTGGTGATTAAAATTGTCAAATAACTACTATTATTCACACACACATTGAGAGTCATACACAATACTATTTTACATGAATTTAATAAATTCTAAAAAACCTTTTTCTGTTTATATTAACTAAATATAAAATGTGCAATAACTATTGCTAAAGAGTTATAAAGAGTTATAGCTAATTATTTGGAATAACTATAATTGTCAATATATGTAAAAATATAAGATACACATTATTATTTCTAATCTTGGAGAATTTAAAGTTGAATAAACTGTGAGAATCACATTACACACATTGTAGTGTTTTATTACAATTAACTTTTTCACACCTGTCTTTTTTACTTTATTCCTTTTATTTAATTATAAATACCGTCTATCCGGGGTTGTTGAACAATAATAATCTAAGAAAGGGTCCACTACCTTTAAATAAATAAATTATTTTCGAAGGGCAAATAACGTTTTACCTTGAGACATTTTTATTTAAATTTTTGTGTTTAATTAATTTGTTAGCAAATTGTTAAAACTAATCTTTGTAAAAATAAGAATTTTGATTAGTAAATTAAAGTATTCAAAATTCATCCTTAACAAAGGGTTTTTTAGGTCGCTGAATTCGAGTTTGACTATCATTTTTAAAACTTCAAAATGCAGGATCCAAATTGGCGAACATACTTTTTGAAAATTTTTTAAAATTCATTTGAATTTTGTCCGCCATATTCAATCCGACATTTTAGAATTAAAAAAAAACTTTAGATTTATATTCGGGGACCTTAAAAAACTGTTAAAGAATGAGTTACAGAATAATTTACCTCGTTTTTTGCTTTTAATTCATAAAAGTATTTTGAAATCTTTAGACCATTTGATTTTTGACAGCTCTATTGGCATCGGAAATGAAAATTTGCAAAAAACGCCCATCGCTATCTTAATAAGTACATGAATGTAGAAATCTTTTAAGCCCTAGAACGTTTAAATCTATCAAAGCAATTTTTGTTCAGAGCTCTGTCCGTGTTGACGTGCGGAATGTCCCATAAATATTTAGTTATTTAAAAAAAATTATTTTATTGATGCAAATAAATGTTTATTTGAATTAAAATCCATGCATTACTGAATCAAGTAATTTTCCTAATTGATTTAAAGCAATATTTATTAGATCCAATTATTCTATTTATTTGACTTAAATAATTCGAATTTGCTACAAATAACTATTTATTTGATACTAGGTACAAATTAAAATTTTTAAATCAAGGGCAGTTCCATACGAAAAGTAAATGGTGGATCACCGATTTTTCTTAAAGTTTGTAATTTTGTAGTATTTGGGGTACTTAATAACTGTGCCAAACAGTTTTGCAAAAAAAAAAAATTTTGCAAGATATTTAGATTTGAAAAATCGGAAACTGAAAATAAATAAATAAATGTCAATTTTTTATAAGATTAAAAAAAGTTAAGAAAAATTAAATTTTCAATAATTTGTTTAAACAATAATTTTTTATTGTTAAAAAAATATGCTAAGGACATCATGGAGTTTCCTAAAAAAATTATTTTCTGAAAATTTAAACCTTCCTTAATAAGTGGTTAAATTTTTAAAGAAGTGCATTTTGAAGTTTTTGAGAAAAAATTTTTTGAAGTTTGCGCTACGAGTTTTTGTGCGTTGCGCCAACTAAGTAGCGCCTATATCAGTGTATTTTAAAAGATGATATGACCTTTACTGCTCGCCTCTAATACATTTATTAATTATATACGTATATATTATTATTATAAACAGTTTAACTATATATTTTTAACTTTTTTATAAAAATTATTTTCCTTTTTTATTGTAAAAAATCTTTTCCTCCACACTTTATCCAGGCTTATATTTTTAATTTTTTATTTTTATGGTCTTCAGTGGAACAGAAGTCAAACGTTATTGTGTCAAATTTATTTTCTACTAACTGAAAAAATGCTTTAAGGAAAAGATTTTTTACATTAATCCATTGATGCTTATAGGCAAAGAAATGCAGATATAATTAAAGTAACTATTGGAATCCTGGCATGGGATCTAATGATAATTTTTGTCGTAGAATGTTAAAAAAATATTTTCTTAACAATTTTTTTTATAAACAAATGAAGAAAAGTTGATTTTTATAAAAAACTTATAGCTCTATTTGATTCTACGCTAAAAACCACTACGAAAACATATATTATTTAATTTTTTAAAAAAGACCTATTGGTGTAAATATGTTATAAACAATTAGCCTGCATTCATACTGTATGAGGTATAAGGATCGTTTTTGAAGTTAAAGATTTTTTTTACACAATATAAGCTTAATCAGGAGAGTTTTTAACGTTAAAAATTTTTTAAACAAAATTTTTACCTCAAAAACTATTTATGTAAGTGGAAATAATATATATTATATTATTAATAATTAATATAATTATATATATATATATATATATATATATATATTAATATTATATTATTAATACATGAACTATTTTTATAGTTTTTGTATATTTAAAGTCATTTTAGTTATACCGATAAGTGAGCGGCGTTATTTATTTTCTAATTTAAATTTCTAATTAGTTTTTGTTATCCTGCTCATTTTCTGGTTAACAAGAATCAGCAAAGTTTTAACATATAACCCAGTTTGAAAATTGTCTATTTCAGATAAAAATGCAATAATTCTTTAACCACAGTAAAACTGTCATTCCTGCTAAAATTACTTTAATTATTTTTTTCTTTTCTTGTTTTCTTTATTTATTCTCAGATATTGAGAAACAAAACACTATGGATATGATAAAAATGTTTACTGATAATCACGAAAAAATAATATTCTGTGCTTTTCTACCCGCTTTGTCAGTTGATATTTTTATTTATCTCCTCGTTTCGTATCATTTTTAGAAAAATTTCTTGGGGGTGTAATTTTAATTTTTTAAACACAGTTTTAAAGCATTTCTAAGTGATCCTTTCTTAAAAAAGACATGGAGTGGAAAGGTCGAATGTATCGAAAAGTATCGAAGTAAAGAATGGGCAATGAGAATGTAAAATCTTATTAGAAGGGTGTTTTCAAAATTGCTTGGACATGTACAGGTGGCGCTCCAGTCGTATGTTATTTAAAAAGAGCGCGAGTATATAAATTTTATTTTTGTGAAGAGAAAGTACTCATAATAAATCTTATTTTACAATGTCAAAAAAACGTCAACATTTAAGATATAAATAAGCAAATTATTAACTAAAAAAATTAAAATATTATAATGTCTGTATTATATTGGGATCTGAAATCGTGACGTCACAGTAAGAATGACGTAGAAAGATGTCCGACACAACAAGGCACCTACGAATATCATAACACGTGTGATAAACTGCCGGTCTCGTTCTTTTCACAATTAAACGTTATTAATGCAAAAATGAAATTAAGTATTTCAGAAATTTGTAAGTTCAGTGATTGTACACCGTCTTCCAGAAATTTTGTTGAAGGCGAAAGAGTCTGGCAAGCTGACCACATTATATTTTGTGGTCAACAAGACAGCGACGAAACTTCAATTAAAATTATAAGTTTCTGCTTACAATCATCGAATTTAAAATCTGCTCCGCATCAAATTAAGGGAGAGATAAACTTATGTGGAAGTATAATCAAGATGACATGCAGCTGTAAGGCTGGTTTAAGTGAAAAGTGCAAGCACATCGTTGCAGTTTTACTTCATTTAAATTCGTCAGTATATACTTACTTTACAATATTTTAATAAACTATTAATTATAAACTATTAATAAAAATTAATTATTAGTAAATCGTTAATTTTTATTAATACTTTATATTAAATTTGCAATTTAATTTAATAGTAATTCTTTAAGTTATTATAATATTTATAAAGCGACTTAATTTAAGGTTATGTTACTATTTGCATTGTTTTTACTTTCATTTAGAGTAAAAAGTATCCAATACCGTATTAATTTAAAGCGAAATTTGTACTTATCATAATTAATATTTAAATTTGATGTAAAATAATTTCTATATATTTTTGAAATTGTAGGATTAACATTATGAATCTGGAACTATGCTCTTGCACGAATACAACGTGTTTATGGTCTGCTTCACATCAAAAAGCACTGGAAGTTTACGAACCAGCACCTCTTCGATGTCACAGTTGTTTTGTCAATGAATTTGAAAAAGAATATGATTTAAAAATCACAGGAGAAGATGAGGAATTTATAAAAGATTTACTTTTTAAATGCGATCTGAATTCAGCACTTGCAAAGGATATGTATGGTTAAATTTTTGTTTTATATTGGTGACTTTTTAGAAAAATTTTATTTTATTTTACCTAGAATTTATTGTATTTAAATAAATTTAATTATTAAATTTATTTAAATAAATAAATTTAATCGATTTATGATTAATTATATTTTTGCTTTTGCAAAATGTATCATTTGATTTTTATTACATTTTAAGTTTCAAAACTTAAAATTTATAATTTGCAAGTTTCTGAATGATTTTATAGAAATAATTTTGATTTTGAAATCCGTGTTAGATTTCAAAATCGTTTTTGTTATATTAATTTTATATTCTACATTTTTGATCAATTTTAAAAACACATTCAACTTATATTTATATTTAATAATGTTCAATATTTAATTTATAATGTAAAAAGTGTAATGTTATTTACGTTTTCAGCATTTCTTTAATTTATTTTATGTCTAAATGCAGAAGGGTATATAGAATTATTTTTAAAAATCTTGTAGAGCGGAAGGCTGAAGCATTTTTTAGAAAAATAATTTTATAGGCCTTTCCGTAATTAGATATTTCAATTCAATATTCTAATCTAAAATGTTATTAGGATTGGGCGACATGAACCAGTGGTCTGCGACTTAGAGAATAATAATTCTATAGTGAATAATTCCTATGAACTCCAGGTTCTTCTCCAAAATCAACCATCTGAATTCATGATTAAACTTTCAGAAAAAAAATTAAATTTTAATTTAAGAAGTTGTTGTGATTCCGTTCTAAGTAGATTAAATGGCGATGTACAATCGATTGCTGAAAATACGGATAAAGATCATATTCAATGAAAAATAGAGCGCCAATTTAGATTGACTGGTTCAAGATACCGTATTTATACTTATACGGAAAATAAGAAACCAAATTGGAGAAACAAGTCAATAAATTACTTTTACCCCAAACCGTTTAAAGCTACTCCTGAAATGGTACATGGAATTGAACAGGAACGATTTGCACGTCAAATGTATGCTGAACAATATGAGATCGAAGTAAAAAAATTTGGTCTGATAATTTCTGCAGAAAATCCCTGGTTAGGTTTTAGTCCGGATGGAGTTGTTTTTAAAGATAATAAACCAGAAAAGTTAATAGAAATCAAATGTCCTTATTTAGGAAAAACCAAAACTGTTGAAGATATTTTAAGCAATTTAAGTTACATCAAATTACCAGAGAGGACTTTGAAAGAGAAAAACGCGTACTATGCTCAAGTTCAATTCTGTGGAAGAAAGACATAACAGCATAACTGCATTTGTCATGATTTTGAGATAAATTAATTTTAATGTTCTCTCACTTCTGTCAATTCAGAAAATCAACAGATTTGTTCGGTCTTTTGCATTTAGTACTATTATTTAATATATTTTCAAAATTCTTTTATAACATTTAATAAAACACACGATTTGATATAAATTTTGATAATTTTTCATCGGAATCATGAGTTTTATTGCACTTATGCGGTTATGCAAGTTCAGATTGTATATGAGTCCAACTTCAGACACTTTTAATGTCACAATTTGTTTTGGTTTGATTTGTCATAATAAAAAAATTTTTCATACAAAGACAAATTAAACTATTAATTCGTTAGAAAAAATTATAAGAGTTTATTTAGTTATAAAATTTATTTTTTTATAAAATGTTTTTAATTTATTGAAACGAAGAAAAAATTTACTTTACTGTTCAACTTGAAGAATTTTTCAATTTATTTTTTGAAATACTTTCCAAAATTTTTTAGAATAGAAATACCCTTAAAAATTAGTAAACAATTAAATGCACAATTTATGCTATAAAAAATTTGTTCCAGTTTTATTAAAATAAATATATTTAATTTAAAGTACGAAAAATGTATTTTACTAAAAACATTTTATTACAAAATTCTTATTGTTTTTATTCATAAAGGTTATTTTCATTTTTAATTATGTCAATTGTTTTTTAAACTGAATGCAGTTATGTTATTATGCTGGTCTCCTTTTGTCAAAAACGCAATTATGCGATTATGTTTTCCATTATTTTCTACATTAATAACTATTTTAATGATTTTTCAGCTATTGAACTTTGAAGAGCAATATTAAATATATACAAATCTGATGTTTTCTCAAATTTGATAAAAATGTCAGTTATGCTGTTATGCCTTTCTTCCACAGAATTAAGAATGATTATTATTTTAAATATTAAGAAAACGGATTTTATTATTTGCGCTTCTTTTGACAAAAGCTTTATAGTAATACCTGTGGAATTAAACTTGCCTTACATAGAAAAACGGTTAGGCGACTTACAAAAAGCTAATTTTGAGTACATGATTCATAGTATTTGTATTAAAGAAATGCTGTAAAACAAAATAAAGTCTGGAATTAATTTAATGATTTTCAAGCATAATATTTGTATTATTTTAAGGAAATGTAAAATAAAATATTGTCTCCAATGAAATTTCTTTGTATTTTATTGTTCTTTTGACAACTTTTAATTTACAATCAAATTGTATGTTTATAATTTAAAATAAGTTTATTTCCATGTTTTTAAAACATTGTAATGCTTATTGTATGGATCAAGACGACTAAAGTTATGATATAAATTTATCATCTTTTAAGATAGGTGAACTTAAATTTACTATTGCACATATTATATTCATAATGTGCTCACATTTTTTAACCATGATAGTTTGCATTTTTCCTCCTAAAATTTGGAATACTTTGATCCTCTGATTTAATCTCTCAACATGCACTCTGGCACTAGCAATGCTTCTATTACAGAGGGCCTCATTTTGAGAAAACTGTGGCTTCTTTCTCAAGAAAGGAGGTCTTACAATTTTTATTCCATGTTCAATACATATGTCATCGATTAAAAATCCCTTATCGACCATTATTTCGTTGTAAGTATTAGCATGTGCAATAATTGGGCTTTGTTCAAAAATCGCTTTATCAGACGATCGACCACCATATGCAGGACTCACATAAGCAAGTTGACCTCCTGGAGTACACGCTGTTAAAAATTTAACTGTATACCTACCTTTATAAAATGAATACATTAGCAACTGGTCACACAAATTTTGAGGTTTTTGAATTTTGATCTCGGTTCAGTCAAGGACTAGAGAAACGTTCTTGTATTCTTCAAAACAAATAGGAATATTTTTTGAAATTTCTTTTCTAGACGGAAAAACAATTGCATGCTTTAAAGTACTGCCTAAAATGTCGATTATATTACAAATCACGTTAGATATGTGGCGTTCGGATATAGCCTTAAACAATACTGCCAAAAAGACATAACTGGCATTTTGTTTTAATTTTAAAAATTTCATAATAACTCTATCGCGAACAGTTCTTTTTTCTGAATAAAATGATAACCGTGGAGCCACCTTTTTAACAATTGCAACCAGAAGATCTAAAATTTTAAAAGTAGGGATGCCGGTCATCGTGCTTAAATATATCTGTTTGTATAAAGGCCGAAAAACTTAATTCCAAAAGATCGCCACTTTTAACTAAAATTCCAACGTCTACTGTCATCGGCTTGTTAACAATTGTAGCGATTTCTTCTCGGTTATTTTCAACATCGGTGGATACCACAAGTTCATTATTGGTTTCATTTTCTTTTTGGTTCATTTTTTCAAGAACATTTAAATTCGAATTCAAAGGGCCCTCTTCTGAAAAACTATTTAAATCAGGTACTCGAGAATTTTCAGTCTCTTCTGACAACAAAACATTATTTGTTATTTTTTCTCTACGTTTGATTTTTCTTTCTTCTCTTGATGTTAATGCCAATTGTTTTTCAAAATCTAGCTTAGATTGCCTGCATGTATATCTACAAAAGTGTGTAATTAATTAATATATTTTAGGTTAAATCTAAATTGCTAAAAAAATATTGGATCTATACCCAATAATTATTTATTTAGAACAATTTACTTTAAAAAATGTATTATTTTACAATGAAACTTTTCTGTTTACTTATTTCAATAATTTTAATACATATATTATATATATAATTACCTTGTATCGAGTAGTCCTCTTTTCTAAAATGAAGGGAACAAACGAGCATGTTTAAGGGTACTTTTTTTCCCATTCTCAATACATGTTCCCATTGTTTTCGTCTGTCAACCATTTCTTCGTTACCATTTTTATTCACAATTTTTACAAAGTTTTTTTTGTATTCGGGAAACTTATGAAATCTCACATCTGGATTTTTGCATGAGTAGATATATAGGGAGGGTTCTAACTCAAGATCCCTGCACCGACATGTTACCGACACTTTTAGCCCAGACTCAAACCACTTAGCCAAGACTCAAACCCTTGAGGGGGATATTCAGACTTTTATGCTGAGCCAGATATGACGTCATGCTTCCTAGAATTTTTGGGGGGGATATTGAGATCATGATGCAAATGTGATTCTTGGAATTTATATAATTTCTTGGAATTATAAAACAATCCTAGAATTTTCCATAGGGGTTGATGACTCAGAATTTTTTATTGGTATTTCCTGTTTTTGTTTTTTGCAGGGTGCATTCTTTAACGATGACGCATAATTTCTTTGTTTTTCGCAAAATGGGGTTGATGACTCATTATCATTGGTATTTCCTGTTTTTGTTTTTTTACATGGTGCATTCTTCAACGATGACACATAATTTCTTTGTTTTTCCCATCCACGAGTATCATTGTCTTTGGAGCTTCAAGAATGGCGCCTATTGTGTGATGCAGTAAAACATATAATGCGATTTTTCAACGGAGATTGTGATGCATTAGTGCTGGATTGTGAAATGTTTACAATACGTTTTAGTGTTACATATCGTTTAATATCAATTGAGCGTTTAGATCAATCATTTACATTTAGTGAAACTTCATTTGCAATTTTTAATGAACTTATTCCTTGTTTTGAACAAAAATATGTAGAACTATCAAAATTCATTTTGCAGTATAGTAAAGATATAATTGTAAAGTTTATTGCAGAATTAATATTTAAAAATAATGTAAAGTCTACAAAACATGCCACGGATTTTATTAAAAAACGTTACAGTAGAATACTTCAAAAAGTGATGGGAAGAACTAATGTTTTAAATTTAGAGACATTATTGCTGGAACTTGTCACATTTCACTGTAAACAAATATCAAATGAAGCTATTCAACAAATGTCAAATATTCAATATATAAATGGTAAATTATTGTAAAAAGAGGATAAATAAATACAAAAATGCATACAATTCAATTTATTTTTATTTTAACCTTTCTTAAACACATTATAAATCAGATTCGTTTATCCAACTGTTATGAGAATTATCAAAACCTAACCATTTTACAAATACATTAGATCCTCGTTTTTTTAATACTTTTTCAACTAAATATACATCTGGATATTTAACTTTAGAAAGTTCTTGATCGTAAAAACATCCACTTATTAGATTTTCCTGATAATCACTCAAGATATATGTTATTGGATTAGTATTTTTTACATCGCTTATAGTAAATATTTCTGTAGTCCAATTTGGTGTATAACCTTTCTCAAAAACATGTTTAACTTTACTTATACGTACTCTATCTCCAACTTTAAATTTGTTATATTGCCTGCTTACTGCAACTTTTCTAAATACATTAAACAACAAATTATTTTCATTTTCAGCATTTACTTCCATTGGTTTCATTTTTATTGTTCGATGTTTACTATTATTATACGCATTTACTAAATCACTTAATATATCTATCCATTTGTAATTACCGCGTAAACTAAATTGCATCCACATTTTATTCTTCAAAGTACGATTAAATCGTTCACAAATTGACGCTTTCAAATTACTATGAGTAGAATACAAATTAATGTTATAATTTTTAATAAGATTTTCAAAATGTAAATTATAAAATTCTTTTCCTTTATCTACTTGCAAATTTTTCGGTATGCGTTTTTTAATTAAAATAGATTTCATTGCCGCAGTCACATTTTCACCTTTTTTGGACTTTACTGGAACAGCCCAGGCAAACTTTGAAAATGTATCAATGACGGTTAACAGGTACTTGTAACCTTTATTTTCTCTCGCATAAGGTTGCATTTCAACAAGATCAGCTTGCCAAGTCTCGTCAAAACCTCGAATGTCAACACTTCTTCGCTTATAATTTTTTCTCGCTGGTTTATGTAACTCTTTCACCAACTGTAGTTTTTGATCCTCTATTGCTAATTACCTTCAAGTGTGCGCAGTCTGCTGTCTAATTGTAAAATAATGTCTTTGTTGGTAGACATCATCTCTATATTTCTTTCAATACTGATTTTTAGATTTTCAAAATATTTTTTTATCAAATCTTCTAAATCTAAAATCTTTACTACATTGTCATTTACATCATTTCTCACGGAACCGATTACATCATAGATGGTGTTTGCTTTAGATTCAATAACTTTGTTTACAATATTCAAGTTTACTGCATCACCGTTGCTCTCGGCATCAGCTACGTTACAAAGTTTCTTATTTTCAATATTAAAATCTCCTTCAGCAGTCAACTTAAAACCAAGTCCTGGTGGACCTCGATTTGAAGTTTCTGTGCTTTTAAACTGATGTCCGAATATGTCGATACTCATCATGAAAATGATAAAAATTTCTACAAATGTTAATTAATAAACAATTACAGCTTCTCTCAACTCTTCAATAATTGATATAATCTCATTATTATGACTGGGATTTCCAGCTGCTTGAGATGCCAAGAGCAATCTTAAACGATCAACCAATTTATTAGGATCATCCCAATAAACATAATAAATTTTTGCATCTTCTTGATGAGGCATATATTCTGGAATTATACCTTCACCAGAATGTACTGCTATATAGTTTAGATATTTGGAACTCTTTTTAGATATAAAATAGCACCATCTTTCTCTGATTTATCTCCATCTCCATTATCATCTCCATCATCATCATCATAATTATCACCGTTATCGTCATCATCAGCAGCTGTTGCAAATGATAAGTCATCTCTTAAAAATGAATCATTCTCTCTCTTAACTTCTTGATCTTCTTCAAACTCAAATGGAAGGTCTCCCTCTCTTTCAATTTTTACTGGTCGAATTTGTTTAACAATTTCAATGTCGTCAACTAATTTCTGAATTAGTGTCACTATAGGTTTAAAGGTATTACTTAAAGTCTGTTCAATTTCTTCCTTGCCCAATTTCATCAGTCTATGCTTTCGTCGAATAGCATCACTGGCTTTTGCAATTTGACCAAGAATATCTTTTTGCTTTCGCAAATGTTTCAAGTGTGTAGAAGACATGTTGATTGACCAATGTCTTGAATGAAACTGTTTATAAAGAATATCATTTCTCTAATTTTATAAAACAATCAAAACACTTTCTATATCTGCCTTCATTGATATTACGATCTTTATCAATGACTATAAAATCATGCTTATTTTTCCAACAAGAGTTGCAAAGTTTTTTAAATTCTATAAATGTCATATCAGTATTTACATGATCATCATAAATATGTCTAAGATTCATTTCATCTTGTTTGAATAAAACTAGTAAATTAACATTGTCACGTATTAAATGTTTTGGAATTCGCGCATATGTTTGACATAAATAAAAGCAATCTACAGCTTTGTGTCTTCCCATAGCAAAAAAAGCTTTAATATTATCTTGTTTTTCACATGCTACGTCATCAAATATAAATATTGAGTTTAGTAACGCATTGTTTGGTTCTACAACATCCGCATGTTCATTAAATGGAAAGTAGCCAACACCCTCTACTGGTTGCAAAATGTTTTCTAAGAATTTGTATTTTGGTTGATATAACGATTTTGAGTACACATAAACATTTTCAAATCGTAATCCATTGGGATGTATTAAAAGAGCAAGTAGAGCATTTGTCTTTCCACAATTTGACGGTCCACAAAATATTGCTCGCACACTATTTGGCAATAAATTTCCATGACGATTTTCTGTTTTCTTATTACAATCTTGAACAAGAGTGTCAAAATTGTAGACTGGCAATTTAATCGATTGTGCTTCAAACTCCATTCTTACGATTACTGAGGTTAAAACTATAAATACAAGGTTTTTAATAGTTTCAATGTCAGTTTACTGTAGTCGCTTGTAACGTTTGCATGCAAATCTAATAATGACGTTTATGTGGATCTAGTTTCTTCGGAGAGGTTTGCGATTTTGTGTCTATAGTTAACTCTTTCATGCTTTGGGCAAGGTCTACGTTAGGCACTACTGTTGGAGGCAACTGGGTTAATTGACTATTACTGTGATAATTGATTATTACTGTCATAATTTTTTTGTTAGATCATTAAAGGTCGACTGTTTGTAGTCAAATGGCAAAAAACTATAAATACATTGGTTATGTAGATTTCCCCTTTAGTCTTGAAAAAGTTTTCTTACCGTAAAGAATATAAATATGGGTGTAAATAAAAAACAAATTAGTTTAAAGAAAACTTCGAAAAGAGTAAGACGAGATAGAGGTATTTTAAATGAAATTATCAATAAATTACCTTTCGAACTTCATATACCTGGCTATCAATACTGTGGTCCAGGAACAAAATTGGCGAAAAGATTAGCACGAGGTGATCCAGGAATCAACCCTCTCGACGCTGCTTGTAAACAGCACGATATTTCTTATTCAAAAAATAGGGAAAGTGTAGAAGCGAGAAACGCAGCTGATAGAGTACTTGCTGATAAAGCTTGGTAACGTGTGTTTGCTCCTGACGCAAATTATAGTGAAAGAGTTGCAGCTTACGCAATAACAAATGCAATGAAGGTCAAATCAAAATTGGGCATGGGAATTAAATCAAAAGAAAATATGAAGAAAAAGAGGGAAAATAAAATATCAACGTTGAGAAAGATTGTAACCGCAGCGACAAAATCTATTAAATTAGATACAAATGCGCAGTCTACTATTAAATCAAAACTTGAAGGTGCACGTTTGCAGTTAAAATTGCTGGTGGCAGGCGAAAAATTAATAAACCTCGAGTTTTACCAATACCTTCTAAAGTGGGAGGAATTTTACCTTTTCTTATTTCTTTGTTTGCGGGTTCAAGTGCAACGGGGGCCCTAGCAGGGGGAGCAGCTGGCATAGCAAAAGCTGTAAATGATGCAAATTCTGCAAAACGTCAACTAGAGGAAAGCAAGCGACATAATCAAACAATGGAATCTATTGCCTTAGGAAAAGGTCTCTTTTTAAAACCATATAAAGCAGGATTAGGCCTTCATCTAAAACCATATAAAGTAGGGCAAGGATGCAAGTCAAAAACTTGAAGTAAAGCTACCTCACCGTGCGCTAACAGACTTAGATTTACTAAAATTTGCAAAAAGTTTAAAAATTCCATATTTTCGAGGAGTTTTTATGCAAAATGAACTACCTATGCGTGGTCCTAAAGAAAATGAATTTGCAATTATTAATCTAGATGATAATAATGGTCCTGGTACACACTGGTGTGCCTATAAAAAGAATAAAGATTAAATCCAAGAAGACTAGAGACAGGAGGTAAAACTTTGGTAGTGGGGGTATGGCAATGCTGAGTCGCTCAGCTGATGTATGGTCAGGCGTTTACTTTCAAAAAAAGGTTTCGCCGCAATAGACCACACGGACTTCTGCGCAGCTACACACGTAAACACAGGAAAATATATTCTATACAAATACAATATGAAATATAAGTGTTTATATTTTCAAACATCTTTTAGTTATTAGAAAAAAAAATTTTAAATCAAAAAAATGTGGAAACTATAGCATGAAGTGTATTTAAAGTTAACAAAAAGTAATAGTCATAGTTCTGTGTTCATCTTTCTTCTTGTTACAACTTTTCACACAGCACGTTTTCGGAATTTTTAATTATTTGAATAACACTTAAGGTCATGTTATTTAGTGGTCACGTGCTCCATATACTTTACTATGGAAAAACATCACACTGAATAGCATGGCCTAAATTTAATAATCACTCACATTATTTCTATATATATCCGTCATGACACACATTGTGTCTCGATTGCACTTTAAAGTTAACCTCAAATTAAAATCATATCATACACACTGTAAAAAAAATCTCTGTAGATTTACAGTTATTAACAGAAATTTGTAAAATAACATCTTTAAAAGTAGCGAATGTACAAATCCCTTTAGTAAAATTACTACTTTCAGCTTGTCAATTTAACAAGTTTCTGTAAATTTACTACTATGAAAGTAGGTAATAAAAGGAAAAAATTATTACTGATTATTACCTACTTTCATAGTAGTAAATTTACAGAAAATTGTAAAATTGACACGCTGAAAGCAGTAATTTTATTATAGGGATTGTAAATTCGCTACTTTCAAAGGTGGTATTTTACAAATTCCTGTAAAAACCTGTAAATCTATACAGAAAAATTTTTTTAAAGTGCACATGTGAAACACGGTATACAAGAATTTGAATGTGTGAGTGATGTGCAGAAGCACCGCGCCGGCGACTTTTCGAAACGAAAAACGCCTGGTTAAAGGAAGGCTCTTGACTCATCCCCACTACCGAAGTTTCACCTCCTGTCTCTAGCCTTCTTGAAAAAATCATATATTTTGATAGCTTTGGTAATCTTCGACCACCTTCGGATCTTGTTAAATATTTTGGTGTTGGTAGCATAAAATATAATCATAAACGATATCAAAACTATAATACATATGTATGCGGACATTTATGTCTTAAATTTTTATGTAAACAATTGAATATTCCTGATTTGTATACTCTGCATATAAATAAATGATATTCTTAGTTTAAATGTCAGTTATTAATTTGACCTCATCATGGACGATTCACTTATTTTAACGTTGTCTGGAAATTCTCCCATCTTAGAATCTTAATTTTTTCCGCCAATAGAGTTGTCTAATTTTAAAAATTATGCTCTTGGCCTTGTTGAATTTTTAACTTTTAATTCTATTCCTAATATAGATGTTGGAAAGAATAAATTTTACGTAGGAAATGAAGAAATTATTATACTCACATGAAGTTATGAAGTTAGTGATATTGATCAAGTTTTGCATTTAGTTTTTAAAAATAAAGGAATTAATTTTACAATCAAACCAAACAATAATACATTGAAATGTACAGTTTATTGTGATGAAGAAATTAATTTTAAACCCAATGATTCTATAGGTAGTTTGTTAGGATTTTCTCCTTCGCAAATTAAAAGCTCAAGAATACCATGAGTCTGATCAACCAGTGTCAATCATTAAAATAAATTCATTAAGAGTAGAATGTAATATAACAACGGGAGCATACATCAATGGTAAAAAAGTGCATACAATTCATGAATTTTTTCCTATTGTTCCACCAGGATATAAAATAGTGGAAGTACCAAATCACGTCATTTACTTGCCAGTCGCTGTCAAGACAATAGACTATATTCAATTGCGAATTGAAGACCAAGACGGAAATTTAGTTAATTTTCGAGGGGAAACTTTAACAATAAGGCTTCATATTAAATCTTTAAAATAATGGGTATTGTTTTTAATAACAGAAAAAGGATTGGTTTTGGTTATAAAATTAAAACACCATGCCACAATCAAATCAGTCGTCGGCGAATCTTGAAGAGATTAACACCTCAGAACCTGCAACTACTGAAAAATCTCGGTCTAAAGATTGTAAAAAAGGAAGAGAGTAAAAAAGAGATTTAAACTTATTTTTACTTGTATTTGTGCCTTTGTATTTCAACGAATTATTATTTGCTATGGAAGGGGAAATTTTAAATATTGATTCACCAGTAATTTTTGATGAATCTATTGCTCATTATGAAGTTCATGAGCAACAACCATACTCCTCATCAACATACAACAATAGTGACGAAATCCGCATCACGGTACAGAATCAGGATCATTGCTTATTTCCAAGCAAGAGCTCGATTCACATAACTGGAAAACTTGTGAAACCTGATGGAACAGCTCTAGAGCGTACAAATTTAATTTCTAATGGCATATGTCATTTATTTGAAGAAGCAAAGTATGAACTTAATGGTGTAGAAATTGATAAAAATAAAAATGTAGGTCTTACAAGTTTAATGAAAAATTATATTTCTCTCGATTCTAGTCAAAATAAATTTCTTAAAAATGTTTGTTGGTTAGAATTTACCAATGAACCAACCTTAACAAATGCGCAAGGTTATTTTAATGTTTGTATTCCTCTGAGTATGATTTTTGGTTTTGCTGAAGATTACCAAAAAGTCATAATTAACGCTAAACATGAGCTTATTGTAATCAGATCAAGAACGGATGCTAACGCAGTGTTGCAAGTAGCACCTTTAGAAAAGTTTAAAATTGTCATTTAAAAAAATTGATTGGTTATTACCATACACAAAATTATCAGATGCTCGAAAGTTTAAATTATTAAAATATATTGAAAAAGATCCATCTATTCCAATAAGTTTTAGAACTTGGGAATTGTATGAATATCCATTATTACCAATTACTCCTAAGCACATTTAGAGTGTGAAAACTTCAAGTCAATTAGAGAAACCTAGATTTATTGTATTAGTGTTTCAGAGAAACAGAAAAAATAATACAGTTCAAAACTCTAGTTTTTTTTATCATTGTGATTTATCTGATGTTAAATTATTTTTAAATTCACAATGTTATCCTTATGGCAACATGAATCTGAATATTGGTAAAAACCAGTACTCTACTTTATATGAAATGTTTACAAATTTTCAAGCTTCTTATTATAGTAAAGAGTCTCAACCAATTTTATCAAAAAAAGAATTTTTACAATATGCTCCTTTAGTTGTAGTGGATTGTTCAAAACAAAATGAGTCTTTAAAAAGTGGACCAGTTGATATCCGCCTAGAATTTGAATCAAAAGAAAATTTTCCCGCCAATACTTCAGCTTATTGCTTAGTTTTGCATGACCGCATCGTTGAATATAAACCAATTAGTGGAATTGTTAAAAAAATTGTTTAACTTTAAGCTTATATATATTTAACTCTTTACGCGTAATGAGATTAGTTGATTTAAAAATGCAGTACTTGATAGAATGTATCAATCGTTGGTTAGAAAATAATTT